ATTTATATATGTATTTTTATATTTATTTTATGTTTTTGATATTTATGTATTATGTATTCATTTTCATTTATAATTATAAATTTATAGAACCCAACCAGATGAGAAAACTATATTTATACCCCCCAATAATAATAATAATAATAGTGATTTTGAAAGTATCCATACAGCTATTTATTGCGCCACCTATACAGCAAGCCAGGTAAACGGAACAAAATTTTTAAATGAGAATTCTAGTAGGCGTGAAATAAAAAGTTTACCTGCTTGGCAGATGCGTTTTCAAAATAAAATAGATGATCTGAGGAAAAAAATAGGCAGTACATGAGAGGAAATCGAAGCAAAAAGTGACTAAAGAAGTCCAAATCATTATAAATAAGTATCAAACACATTCAAGATACGAACATGTAAATTCAGATCTTTTGCATTTTCTAGATACCCTCAAACAAAAATTAAGTTCTACTGCAAACCGATTAAAAAGATATACACAATATACACGCAGAAAGCAACTAAACACGAAATTTTATTACAATGAAAAAGCATTTTATAGGAACTTAGCAGAAAGCGGTGAAGAATTAACCTCAACAAGTTCAACAATTCCAACACCCGAAGATTTTCGAGTATTCTGGTCAAATATATGGTCTAAACCGGTAAGACATACAAATAATAAATGGATAGAAAATGACACAGAAAAGTTATGCAATCTCCCACAAATGGCATATGATAATATTGATCTAGAACTCTTCAGAGCTGTTATTGCTAATACACACAATTGGAAAGCTGCAGGGTCGGACCATATACATAATTTCTGGTACAAGAAATTAACTTACACCCACAAGTTACTTCTAGATCACATTAATAAATACATAGAATCACCAGAAACACTACCTACGTTTATTACACAAGGAATTACTTATGTGTTGCCAAAAGATAAAAAGGATTCAACAACTCCACAAAATTATAGACCAATAACTTGTCTTCAAACCGTATATAAAATTATTACAGCATGCATAAAAGAAAAAATCTACAAGTTCTCATTTGAAAATAATATCCTAGCTGAAGAACAAAAAAGGATGTCGGAAAAAAAGTTAAGGTTGTAAAGAGCAGTTAACGATAGATGCTATAGTATCAAAGCAAGCATTCATTAATAAACGTAATATATACACAATGTACATAGATTATAAAAAAGCATACGACTCAATCTCACATTCATGGTTAGTCTTTATACTAGAACACTATAAAATTCACCCAACACTTGTGCGCTTTTTAAACCACCTTATGGACCATTGGCAAACTGCAATTAAATTAAAGTGCAATAACACATATACCTATAGCGATTTAATTAATATTAACGAGGTCTATTTCAAGGGGATTCTCTCAGCCGGTTATGGGTTTGTCTGGCACTTAACCCACTCTCAAATATTTTAAATCACAGCAAAATGGGATATAAAATTAAATATGACGATACTTATTATATTCTGTCGCACCTCATGTATATGGACGACATAAAGCTATTCGGTAGCTCCCTGAACGATATTTATAAGTTAGCAGACTTAACACAGAGCTTCTCAAATGACATTCATATGAAATTTGGTCTAGATAAGTGTAAAATACAATCAGTACGCAGAGGACACGTTGAATCTAATAATTATCAACTCAATGATTTTCAGATTATAGGTCCCGTAGATCAAAACGAAGGATATAAATACTTAGGGTATCAGCAATCGCAACAAGTACATCACAGGGTAACTAAGTCTACATTAACACGACAATTTAAAATGAGATTGCATAAAATATTAAATACACAATTGAATTCCTAAACACAATTAAAGGCATTAACACTTTCGCAATACCTGTACTAAACTATTCTTTTGGAATAATAAAATGGTCGCAGACACACACATCGCACTATGACTAAATATAGAAATCACCATCCACGCTCATGTGTTCAGCAACAGACATTGCCCAAAAGAGAAGGAGGAAGGGGACTCATAGACATTCAGAACTTACACAATAAATGATTTCACTGAGAGCATTTTTTTCATTTACGGTCGCAAGAATCTTCGTTACATAAGGCTATGGTAAAAGCTGACAAAAATTCACTCCTCTTAACCTTTCAGAAACTAATGTAGAATTGACTGAGAAGACAAATCTGCATTTTATTGATGTTTATGTATATTTATCTTTTCATTTTAATTTATAATTATATATTTGTAGAACCCAACCAGATGAGAAAACTATATAGATACCGCAATAATAATAATAATAATTTCATTATTTTCTTTGAATGATATTATATACACGTATAACGTATATTCAACGTTGATAGATCATTTCAAACTAGCGCACAACAGCCCTCTTTTATTGAGACAACTTAGCGATCGCAGCGCCTGACTTATTTTGTCCATATTTCTGTGACCCTATTTTCTACAGCGATCGTTCTCCTTCTCTCTAACCTCTATGATAGACAGACTGGTCTCCACAGACTAATATGATACTTACGTATCTGGTCTCTCTAACCTCTATGGTAGACAGACTGGTCCATGGAGGTTAGAGAACAGGAGAACGATCGCCGTAGAAAATAGGGTCCAAGAAATATGGACACCATAAGTAAGGCGCTGCGATCGCTAAGTTCGCTCAATAAAAGTAATTTTCAGTCTATTTTTTCCGATCAGATGCTAAACCACTTGCACTTCCACGTACAATAAAATATTTCTCCATTTTTTAATGTTTCTTTTTATCAAAAATTAGAGAATTATGGGGCATGAAAATTTACTCCTCAATGCCGCGGAGAAAATTTGTACATTATTCAAATAACGTCATCTACTTGTACTCATAAACAGCTAACTTCGCAGTAACAACTCACCGACGTCAGCGCCGCTATAAATTATACAATTTTCAAGGACAGGCGGGCTATGCTTTAGTACGTAGCAATCGTTCTCCTGTTCTTATTATATATTCAGAGTACTTCAAAAAAATGTATACACACTTTAAACTATTATAGTTTTTCCGCTCTACAAGGCTAATGTTATATTTCTTCGCCAGGTGCCAGCATAATAGTCCCTCTATGTTATATTATCAGTTGGAATTTGTAATATCAACATGGGGAACGTACGTTTAAGTTTTGAAGAACGTAAGCAGGTTATTACGTGATACGGGATACGTGAACCGGGATTTATGGGTAGCATCATTTGGTCGGATGAAGCCCCATTCAAACTTAATGGAACTGTCAATAGGCACAATTGTGTTTACTGGGGTGAAGAAAATCCTCACATTACAATTGAAAAAGCTGTAAATTTGCCTGGTATAAATGTGTGGTGCGGTTTGTCTTCAAGGGGACTCATTGGACCTTTTCGATTTGAAGGCACTGTAACTGGTATTAATTACCTAACAATGCTTGCTGATTCCATATTTCCTGCCATTCGTGCATTATACGGTAATGATGATTTTTATTTTTAACAAGATGGTGCTCCGCCGCACTATCACAGGGACGTACGAGCTTACCTGGATCAAAATTTGTCGGGCCAGTGGATAGGACGCAGGGGGCCAATCGAGTTTCCAGCACGCTCTCCAGACCTTACACCACTGGATTTCTTCTTGTGGGGCACAGTAAAAGATGAGGTGTACAAACGTAAACCACGTAACCTAGACATTCTTTGGAATGAGATTCAAGCAGTGTGTAGAGAAATCTCATTGGACGTTTTGATACGATGTACAGAATCTGTGGTGACTCGTACTCAGAATTGTATTGATGCTGCAGGTCACCAATTTGAACAGTATTAACATTTGTTATTTATGTTTCATTTACATTGGACTTTCAGCTTTCTATTTTCCTGAAATTTAACTTTGTAGAACGGTAAATAAATTTTCTATGGAAGTTCAAAGTGTGTATACATTTTTTTGAAGCACCCGGTATATGTGTTCACTATATTACAAGGAATATAAAAAAGTATAATACTTTCGTTTTTAGTCCAGACACAAATATAAAATTCTATAAAAAAAGACGGAGCACCTTCATCAAAACGACACGTGGAACGCCGAAAGTTCGTACTTGTTTAGAGTGATTTCTTTTTTTTTTTCTAAGAAACATTGCCAGGTTATGGTTTAAAATAAAAGAGCATATCTTTGTCTTTGATACTATTATCTATTGCGTAGTGTCTTTGGTTTTGTTTAAAACGAAAAAATAGTTTTTTCATAGGTACACACGTAGTTTACATAATTCTGATCAAATTAGCTCACTGCTTGGCGGACGTAAGGTAGGTATTGTACGATCAAAAGTGCGCATGGCTTGGTTTACAGGTTAACCTCCATAGACTGGTCCCACGTACACATTTGACGTACGCATGCAACGTACGTTTGGCGTCAGACACTTGTCACTTCTTAGCGGACGCACGAGTAGAAATGTATACCATGTTTTCTGAGTTTTGAGTTTTGAAAATGATTTACTTAGTCTAATGTTCATAAACAAATATATCTACGCCACAAAGAAAAGGTTAAGGTAGTAATAAGTTAGTTATAAATATGTAAAGTACCTACATAACATGGGGTTAAAAAATTAACTACTTTTTAACTTCGCGTCTCAACCTCTCCCTTTCACAAAAATGTATTAGGATGAATACTCACTAGGTTTACCCAGATTTACCATGTAGTTTTACTCACTTTATCCATATTTTATGACGTAATGTAGCATCGTGATATTTGAAATAAGTGTGTAATGCATAGTTTATCATAAAAAATCAAGAGTAAAAATTTCATATGCTTGCAATGTTTTGCATTACATTGCGTACATGGGACCAATCTGACCTTTATCGTATAAGCAGTATTTTGATAAAGTACAGAAAAATTAATATATAAAATTTGAATTAAGGGTTCTAAACTGTGTATGTAATTTATTTATTTATATCACAAATATATGTATATTAAGTCTACGAATTTTTGAAAGAAAAACTAGTGTATAGCATTAAAAAGCGTAAATTTGTTTATGAAATTTATTTATTATAAGGTCATCAAATCATTTTTGTCAGCTGCGCTTCTAGGTTTTCGTTTTCGTCACTTAAATAAGCACTGCCCGGGAGTTGGGTTATTTCCGCATTACCTTTGTAGAAATAATCATTAGTTAATGATATTCCTTTAACAATCAAATCTGAAGCGCTGCTAAATCTTGGTACAGTCATCGCCTGTCGATATATGCACTCAAATTGACCCGTTGAGGCATTTGGATCAGCCATGTAATCTATAACAACTAAAAAATAATAACATTATTTAAAAAAAATTACATTTTGTTGCATAAACCATGCCTCACATATTTTAATTTTAATAATAATAATACGGCGTAGGGAAGTGACGACTGCATCGCCGCTGACGTAACGGTTATGTGACAAAACCGCTACGTCAGCGCATGGCGCAGTCGTTAGCACCTTTCCAAGAGGTGTTAGTGACGTGCCTCGGCAAAAATTTAAGGTGCAAAGGCCCGCTTGTGCACATGGCCTCACCATGAAACGGCGCCGGGTCTGGGCGTCTCCCGTTAAATGACGTCCCACAAAAATGGATAATGGAATTTAATAGAACTCGCAAAGGGCCACTGGCTGGAAGTCACCAGGGCGCGTCTGGAACTGGCGCTGGACGCGACAGCATGTAAACCGCCAGCCAAGCGCGAGGTGCTGCACGACCACCCAGCAGCACCTCGCATAAATCCCCACCAGCTGGCTTGGTGTCGGCAGGGTCTTCGTGGGCCCAGCAATCGGCGCCGCCACTGGTGGAGTATGCGTTGTATGTATGGGAGTATGGGAGAAGTTGGAGGTTTTGCGTATCGGGCAAGGATGCATCGACTTTTTGCTGAGTGTTGTGGCAGACCGAGTTCGGTATATCTTGCGCTCAAATATATTTGATGGCGCCGAACTCGACGTGAGGCTGTTCCTCATGGGATGAAAATGATACGGCTGAGAATGTGGCGCCACAACTTGCAGAGCAACAGGCAAATGTGGATGCCGCCGTGAATAGCCAAGTTGTAGTTCATTCAAACGATGATGGAACAGTCGCCCAGGAACTGGAATTAGAGCAAATGAGGCACTGGAAGAGGCAACTATATAAACGCGCAGTACGCGTCTCGAAAATCGACCGCCACTTCCCCGCATAGCCCTAAGCAAGCGAAATTGGGCTGTCGTGGGGGCTCTGGACCTAATGCTGGTGACCTATTTGGAAGCCAGCCGGGACCTTTGCGAGACGGACTCAATTCTTTTTGGCACCGCACTGGCAGCCTGCCGTATTATAGGTGCCAAACTTTCCACGGCTGGACGCGCTACTGAACAAAGTAGCGCTATCCCAGCCTGGAGAATAAGAATTGAATAATGTATCGCAAAGCCTAGGGCCCTCATCGGTAGACTTCTGCTGCTTATGTTTTAGGTCAGGCAATAACAGGCCAAGGATTGTGCGCACCGTCAGGATGGCGTTTTCTGGGACAAATGTTGGTTTGTCCCAGCCGGATATAATGCAAAAACTGACGGAGCGCATAGACGACCTGAAGCAGAGAATCGCTGTTTGGGAAAAGCGGATTCGGTGATATACCGAGAGGTCGACACGGTTCAACCAGAATAGTCTCTTCCAGTGTGATTAGAAGAGGCTCTATAAATCATTGGACCAATAGTAAGTGGTACGGGCCCAGCACCGATTCAGACCGACACTGTCGTATTCTGGCGCGACCTGTGGTCAGAGCCCGTAAACCACAGCGAGGGCCCTTGGACGGAAGTTGTGGCAAGTCAATGTGCGGGTATTACGTCCACGGACCTCATCATCATAACGCCGGATGACGTAGCTGAGTCAGTTCGTAGGGCCCCGAACTGGAAAAGTCCGGGGCTTGACGAGCTGCACCACTACTGGTTGAAGGGGTTCGTGGTGTGTCACGCTGTGCTCCCCGGACAGTTTCAAGAGGCTCTCAACCAGAAGTCACTCCCGAGCGTCATCACTACTGGGATCACTCATTTGGTTCCTAAGGACCAGGTACCCTGGTGAGACAGTACACAGACCCGTGCAAATACCGCCCCGGTATATCCGGGTATATTCCAGGGCGACTGTCTGGTTCTGCCTCTCTTTGAACCCTCTCAGTACTTTACTAGAGGGCTCCGGGAGAGGATTTTAGCTTCGGAAAGGTGTGCAAACAAAAGTGACCCACATTTTCTATATGCATGACCTCAAGTTATTCGCCTCCAGTCGCTCCCATCTTGTGGAATTACTAAATATCACTTGTGAATTTAGCAATTCTATTGGAATGGAGCTCGGGACAGATAAGTGTGCGGTCCTCCATATTGAAAGAACAAAGAAAAAAGAAAAAGAAGGAAAGGTGGCTAACTCTGAGGGCATAGACTTATCTATGCCCGTCAACTTAAGGACCTTTTCCGAGGCTGAAACATACCGATACCTGGGTATGTCACAGAATATCGTTATCGATGAGGCTGGTATGAAACAGTCAGTTTGCGACGTGTTTTATGCACGCTTGACCAAAGTGCTTAACAGCCTTTTGTCCGATGTGAATAAGACACACGCATATAACGGTTGGGTCATGCCTGTCCTCATGTATACCTACCTTTGGCATACTCAGGTAGTCTCAGACTAAACTTAACGCCCTGGATAGAAAAGTCCGCACTACCACGACGTTCCATAGGATGCATCATCCGAGATCGTCGGTAATGAGGCTGTACTTGCCGCTAAAGCATGATGGGCGTGGCTTTCTGAGCGCACTCACCATGCATGATCGCGAAGTGTGCAGCCTACGTCATTACTTCCTGTCGAGATCGGATGATCCATTCTATAATGACGTCATTTATGATAAAGGGCTTACCCCTCTATCCTTAGCCAACAAGCAATGGCAGGACCCAGCAGTACATAGCTTATCCGACAGGGAGACCGTATGGAAGGAGAAGGAGCTCCACGGGAGGTACTACAGGGCTCTACATAGGGCCCTTCGTAGTTACAGTCGCCTCCCTCCACTGGCTACGTTTCGGTGACCTCTTCGGGGAAACCGAGGGTTTTGTCTGTGCAATACAGGATCACGTTATTAAAACCAACAACTATCGGAGATACATATTAAAGGATGGCACCGTAGAAGTCTGTCGAGCTTGTACGGTCTCGTGTATCGGAAACTGCCTTATTATGAGTACTTGCTCTACTATGACCTGGCTATCATCACAGGCAGGACTATTCTTGCGAATAAGCCTGATATTGTGCTGATGGACCGGGCACAGTCAAAGATATTTTTGGTCGACATTCCCATTCTTAATGACGAGAACCCAGTGAAAGCCGAATCAGATAAGAAAATAAAATATCTGGACCTGACCCACGAGGTGACCGACATGTGGGGTGGCCGACTGAAATTATTCCTGTCTTTGAACCGCTGGTCTTGCGCCTGATCTCTCTACCTCCGGTCGTGGTGGTTTTCCGTCCTATTGTAATATTATGTGAGTGAGGGAATAGAGAGTGCATCTATGCTTGCGCATAAACTTGGGCACCTTGACCGTAATTCGGTCTGAAGGTCGAGATTGGAACTCGAATATGTAGTAACCCAAATTAATTCACGATTATGTTTGTTTGTAACATATACATAGTCGAGTTTGTGGCTTGGGTTGGTTTGGTTTTAAACGATGCACACAAAAGTGCAACTTTATTTCATTAATAGAATAAAAGTTGTAGGGCATTAAATAACATTCACGAGTAAATAAAAATTCCCTGTCAACAGCGAACATAAAACAAGATTTGTATGATAACATTACAATGTGGTTGAGAAAATATATTGTATGTGCTGTTTTGTATACAATTATTTCATGTATGAAATATTATAATTTAGAAAGTAGCGTTTACTAATCGTTGCACAACTACAATAAACCTAACGTTTTTACATTTTATTTCTATAAATATTACATGCATGTTGAATTATAATGCTAAGGGTAATACGATATAGCAGTTTAGCAGTTATCCTCATCTTGAATTTAGCTCAGGATATTTACTAACCTTTAACTATGTCGTCAACAACTGCAGGACATACTTTAGCAGTGACTTCAGTGGTTCTATTGAGATCAGGACATGAATTTATTTCAATTAACCAAGGTGTGTATTCTTCGTCTAATAGAAAGTCGCAACCATACAGCTCGAAACGATTTTTGCAAATTGGCATAGTGTCTTGACAACTGAGCATTATTCCGATTATTGACTTTTTCATGCCTGGGTAAATTATATTGTCCCAAACTTTATCTTCACCTATTTTATATAAATAGTTTTTATACGTATTCAGTTCCCACATGTTGTTCTCTGGTAGCTCCGAGTGGCGTCCGATAGAATTATTATATTTTCTTTGCACTGCATGGTTCGTTAGATGTATAGACTCATGATAATTCCTTAGGTTATATCTTCGTGAACTAAACTTCAAATAGCAATCTCTATACATCCATATTACTAGCGGATATGTACTCGTGATGAGGTAATATTGCCTTATGTCAAATTTTGTGTGGTGTATTAATAAGGGTTTTTCTAAAAAATAGATACATTTTATTACTATTCTTCAACTTTCTTTTTCGTATACGGTTATTGTTACAGCCTATCCAAAGTTTACTGTTGAACATAGATATCCAACATAAATGATTGATTGAGTGATATATGCTACCAGTTTCTCGACTCCACAGAGTCAGTAATTCAATCTTGGGGCAATGTATATGCTATTACAATAAAGTACCAGAAAATATACAAGGTCTCTCTGTTACCAAGTTTAAATATTTAATTAAACAAAAACTGTATAAAAAGGGTTATTATGATATAAATGAATACATGGTTGATAATAACCCCTGGGAATGAGGTGGTCGCCTCCAAGCTGTTTCTAAAATAAATTTTGTAAATATTCTGTGACCCTTGATATTGTAAAATTTATTTTTTTTAAAAGTCCCGCTGGGTTTCTTGCTGGTTCTTCCCAGGACAGAGGTTTTTTTTCGAACCAGTGGTAACGTAAAATATTGACTTTCAATAAGAATTACTTGTAATCTATATTGAATAAAAATTATTTTATTTTATGCAATAGTTGATACGTTCGCCAGGCTGGTTATCAAGTGCAGTTATTTTTGCTGTTATGCCGCCGCTGCCCATCTCCTTGTTAACTCCCTTTCTCGCCTCTTACGACACCCGCTGCGGAACGAAATGAGGTACTGGATATTCTTACATCGTTACGCTGTTATTTCTTTAGTTCCCAGTCGTTGTTAGATAATTAAATATGTTAATTATCACAATTCATTGTAGCTATCAACCCCAAGTCTCACAAACTGAAAATAATGGGCAACGTACTAGTATTTACGTAACGAGCATTTCAGTCCTGCGCTCCACGCAACCATCTATAAGCCCGTTTCGTTAATCATTTTGAAAACTCTTAAGACCAGCAGTGGGTTTAAAAGGGTATTTACAAAAACTAAACTAAATAATAAGAGCTTAGTTTATCCTTCATGAAGATGTTCAATTTTAGTTTATAGTTTAATAAAAAAATTCAGCTTCAATTTTGCAATGAGCAATGCGCATTATTACCATAAATGTCAATTTTTCCGTTAGCCACATTCATGTCAATTAGATACTTGAGCTTTTTTACAGTACTAAGTAGGTATGCTATATATTTGTAACATAAGATTGGATTAATTATTACAACACAAAATGCTATTGAATAATCTTTCCGCAGACTCTGGGTCGGTATATCACCGCACTCATTGTGGCTATTTGATGTTTCCTTCTTCTTTATAAGTTTTATATTATATACGTTACTTACCGATATATTTTTGTACGACATATGTATAATTATTGGTCTTGTTCAACAAGCTTCTGATGACACCTAATTTAGACGCCATTCTTATTCCTCTACCTCTTGAGCAATAAGCTGGTTTTATTATCCAAATATTGTGATAACCTTCGCATTTTGCTTGCGGGCGGTATTTATAGATCTCTTGCAACAAAAACTGTGTATAACTAATATACAGAGGTAACTTATTATGTTTATCAACTTCAAAGAATTCTTCTTGTGTTACGAGGCGATAGTACTTTTTCAAAAACGTATTCCATTTCCCTGTACTAACAGTTTTAATTGTCCGATCGATATCCTTATTCTGTTTTCGTAATATATATTCTTTGCATCTGTTTAATGCGAACTTTATCACAGACAATGAAAGAGTGCCGTTTTCTACAAATATTGACCTTTTATTCGCAAGCTGAGATAGTACCAATTTTATAAGACTTGTGCAAGCAGTGATTTTATAATCTGAAATAAACTCTTCAATTTCAAAAGTATTACAACAATCGTAGGTTCTTGGACAATTAACTTCAGCTACATCTTCAATATAAAACCAGTAATTTATTTTCATAGAATTGCATAGACCCTGTTTCGATGTCCACAAAGCGTCGGACTTAAGTTTGTTAATAATAGCATTGCATTCATTTTTCATATCTATCGTGGTTTCATAATGCTCATGATTTTCTCGCCAAACGAAATTAGGATTACATTTTTGTACTAAATTTGAGAGTAATAATTTCTCCAGCTCGCAGTGTATTTCTGATTTACTGCAAATCGTCCCATTGAATATGTTTGTAAGAGTCATACGGTTGGGTGGAATTTTTTCAACCCAGCCCCTTTGCAATAGAGCTTTACGAATTGAACCACACGTACCATATATTGTAAATATTTTATTTTGTCTTTTTGCTTCAGCTGCGAGATCCTTTAATTTTAAATAGCGAGAAGATCGGTTTTGGTAACATGATATTAAATAACTAGTTTCTTTTGGAGAGAGTCCTGTAGAATGGTAAGGATTTTTAGTTGTTGTTGGATCTCCCTTGCCATTGTTTTTACTATGTAATGTAGCAATTCTATTAAGAGGAGAATGTAACCTTTTTAAACCGCCTTTAACGCACTTTATAACGTTTGGCTTCTGAAAATTGTAATTTACCATGATAATAGTTACAATAAATTAATAAATTTAAATACAATATATAAGTTTTCAAAAAACGTAAAAAACCAACACCAAAAAAATATAGATAATACGAGTATAATAACTTCCCAAATAATATAACAGCTTGTGAACTTTGGATTTTTTTCTTCGACATACTATGTATTAACTTTAGAGGAGCTTATTTATATATTATACTATCTAGAGCAAGCTCCGAAAATTTCGAAGTAAAATTAATGGTCTCAGGTCTTTTACGCAACTTTTAATTGGGACAAATATATGTTTTATTGGGACACATGGTACAATAACGTAACAAACACGACATTTTCAGATGAATGGTAACCATATCTTTACCATATTCGGATATGCCATTGTGGCGATTCCATGGTGATGTAATTGTACGTATACAATGCGAATAAACCTGTTGAATTTTAAAAAACTCAATAAAATATTCCTTTGAATTTTCGTATCGATATATCAAAATAAAAGTAAAACGACACATAGTATGTTTTTTTTGTATATTATTATTTATTATTATTCAGGGCTATCAATACAGCATTGTCATCTGATTGGCCTGCTTAATATATAAAATATACATAAATATAATAAATAAACAAAAAATACATAAATAAAGAAAAGCCCAATCAGATGGAAGACCTTGGCAGCGAGGACCAAACGGTCGAGGGTTAGGGGGAAAGGGACAAAACCGGCGAACGATGCGTGGGGTGTCAAGGTGCACCGACTTCTACATTTGAGCCCGGAGCGGTCCGTCACGGAGTTCCAATCGCCTCAGATGAACTGAGAGGCTGACTAGGATTAGCTCGTTCACAGTAACGACTACAGGAATAATTTAGTCGACTGACCAACCCACATGTCGATTACTTCGTGAGCCAGGTCCAGTTATTTTATTTTCTGTTTCGGCTTTTACGAAGTTTTCGTCATACGGAATAGTAATCTTAATTGAATCAAGTCCAAACATAATATTAAGTTTATTTGCAAAATAGTCCTGACCGTGATGATGGCCCGGTCCCAATAAAGCCTGGCGCAGTTATTACCTAGTTCGGGTTCGGGCGAGTACTTATAATTAGACAGTTTCTAATCCATGAGACCGTACTTCAGAGCGAGCTTCTGGTGTATACTCCTGGTGATCCTGACTACTAGGTTGTGTTTGTGCATTTAACAGTGTTAGAAAGCGCCAAACAACCAGAAATGACATGCCTAAGTGACTCGCCGGGATGACGACAAGCTCGAAAGATGTCGACCGTGTGATCTATAGGATGTATCTCCAATAGTTGTTGGTCTTAATAACCTTATCCTGAAAAGACAAATTCCTCTGTGATTCCAAGGAGCTCGCCGAACCGTAGCCAGTGAGGGAGCCGACCGTTTCTACTAAGGACTTGTATAGATCCTTGTAAAACTTCCCGTGGAGTTTTTTGCCTTCCATACGGTCTCCTGGTCGGAAACGCTCTACACTGCCGAGTCCTGATATTGCTTTTTGGCTAATTATAATCAAGTGAGCCCTTTATCACACATAATAAGGTCTTTAAAGAATGACTCATCCGATTTCCACGAGAAGTAATTACGGAGGCTACACACTTAGCGGTTGTGCATGGTGAGGGCGCCTAAGAAGCCACGCCCACCATACTATTGTAGCAAGTACAGCATTATTACTACTGCTTTATTATATTACTAGTCTACATGTGGACAGGCATGCACCTGACATAAAGTTGTTAAGCACTTATATCAAGCGTGAAGAAAACAGATCGTCAGCAGGTTGTTTCATGTTCATGGATACCTACGTTTTGTGATATACCCAGGTATGTTTCAGGCTCAGCAGGAGTGCTTATGTTGACGGGCATCGGTAAGTATATGCCCTTGGAGTTAGAAACCCTACCCTTTTTTAAATGAAGGAAAGCACATTTTTCCGACCCCAGCTACATTCTAACAGAATTGCTAAAATTACAAGCGAGATTTAGCAATTCCATGAGATGAGACCGTCTGGAGGCGAATAACTTGAGGTTATTAATGTAGAAAATGTGGGTCACTGTCGTCCCCTTTTCTTGCAGCCGAAGTCCCTTCTCAGATCCCTCCAGAAAAGTGCTGAGAGGGATCATAAAGACCAGATCGGACTCAGGCTATCACCCTGGACCCAGACTATTCCTACGTATCCTTAATCGGTCTTCTGCAACCGTCATTTACTCGCTTTGACGACAAAGAATCGTATTCCAATGCCTCATACATCGCTCAAGAAATTCTAATTGTAATCAATCTTGTACATCCTTTGTATAGTATAACCAGGCGGCAGAGAAGTTTCGACGGTTGTGTTTAACATCATTACGGCCCTTCAAAAGTCCACTGCTGAACATAGGCATCCCCCAAGGAATGCTGCAAAGCACGGTCCTGAGCCACCTGTATTTATCGACCTGAATGTCTGACCAGGTTGTCGCTCCATCTAGTAGGGGGACACCCCACACTTCGCCTGCCTATACGAGGCTGCCACACGACTGCTTTTTTAACAATTTTGCCAATAACTGCGTCAATTGTTCTTTGATTTCACAACCGCCACACATCCATTTTAAGCGCGCGTCATCCCCGATTTAAGTCCAGGTGATAAGTGATTCTCGCGCTCATAATGGATGACAGTGTCTTATACAACATATAACAAAAACAGAATCAGTATTCAAATGAACATATTTTTTTATAGAAAAGGGGGCTAACGAGCAAGCGGCTCACCTGATGGTAAGTGACTACGGCCGCTCATGAACAACCGCAACACCAGCGGAATTGCAGGTGCGTTGCCGACCTTTTAGAAAGGAATAAGCTCTTTTCTTGAAGGTCCCTAAGTCGCATCGGTCCAGAAAAGTCGCCGGTGGTAAACAATTCCACAGAGAAGTTGTATGTGGAAGAAAACTCCTAGTAAAACGAACAGTGGTGAACAGCCAAGCATCCTGATGGTGAGGATGGTATCGTGAATTTTTACGCGATGTGCGTTCGTGAAATTTGGCGGCTAGAACTAATGCGGACAATTTCTTAGAACACTCCCTATGGTAGATACGATAGAAAATGCAAAGGGGATGCAACATCCCTACGCAGCGCCAGTTGATCGAGCCGATCAGAAAGAACTCGGTCGTCGACTATTCGCATCATGTGCTGGATGCGGTCAAGTGGAAGGAGCTGGCACTGAGGTGCCGCGGTCCAGAGATGAGAATAGTATTCCATGTGAGGCCGAACTTGCGCTTTGTAAAGTTGCAAGCGATGTGCCGGCATGAAACACTGTCTCGCTCTGCTGAGCATGCCAAGCTTTTTAGAGGCCAATTTGGCCTTCCCCTTCAAGTGACCATGAAACTGCACACTATTCCATATGTCGACGCCGATGATTCCATGCTAGCTGAGGCAGCAAGGGGAGTGCCTGCAAACTGAGGAGATACGACAAAGGGGTTCTTTATAGCGGTTAACGCACAAACTTGTGTTTTCTGGCGATTGAATTGGATTAGATTTAGTCGCCCCTAATCCGAGACTTTGTTAAGCAAAGACTCGACTTCAGACACAAGTTTGCCCCGGTACTCGACGACGATTTCCCGAGAAATATTTTCATGGCCGGTGTATAAGGCATCACCAGTGTTGTCGTCTGCATAGCAATGAATGTTATGCAACATATCATTCATATGCAGAAGAAACAGCGTTGGTGATAGCACGCAGCCTTGTGGAACACCAGCGTTAATAGGCTTGTAATCAGAGCATGCACCGTCTACTACGACCTTGATGCTCCGATTAGCAAGTAAACTAGTGATCCAATCGCACAATTTCTCGGGAAGCCCATAGGACCTGATCGTTATTTTAGAAAACTCGACCATATTTTTTTTAAATTTAATGTAAATATCATGGTAGGGATATTTTACATCTATAGTGCCTGTTAGGATTATCGGGTTCTTTGTTACATTTGTGTATGATCGATAGACACGTGATGGGGCGGTATTTGCTCGGGTATGTGGTATCCTGGTCGTTAGGAACTAATTGAATCGACCCCATAGTAAAGAGGCTCGAGAGATTTTTGGATCTGTCGGGTGAGAAGAGCGTGATACACTACAAACCCCTTTAGTCAGTAGGGATGGCTCCAGCTCAGCAAAAAAGCGATTATTATCCTATGCGGCGTAGGTACTCCATCAGTGCTGGGTGTCGATTGCTGGGTCTTGGAAAACCTTGCAGCAAGACCATAAATATGATCGTTTTTGCATAAATTGACTTTTAGACATCGTAAATTTGCTCGGCCAATGGTGTTCGAATTTTCTTTGAATATTCATTTTATTATTTTATTTATTTATATTTATATTTATTATTTCATTTTAATGAGTGATTTTTAATGACAGAAATTACGTGATTACATGGTAGATTGTATAAAAATATTTCATTAGATTTCCGATCACAAAAACTGAAAAATAATAATACTGTTATAAATGATTAATAATATCAATACCTGTGTATCAGATATAGTCTTTCCAGATATGGCTTTCTTCCGTATGTCATACTTATTACGTGAATCATCTTTGAGCTTGGCCTAATATTGTGTTAACATAATGTCAGTAAATAAAGTAAATTGAAAACAAATTAACAAATATTTTAAGTTACATTAACTTTACCTTTTTTGTTCTTTTAGTTTTTTTCTTTCTGATTGGCATTATGAGGATTGTAATTGGGCTTGATTATATGAGATTTGACTAGGACTTGCCATGTTTATCTAAAAATATAATTTTATAATTATATGCCTTGTGTCGTTGTGAGCTTTTCAAATTAAAATATATATTTTTATGCAAATTACATATTTCATTTAGATTATTGGTAAAAAAATGGTCAATTTCCCAACGATCTCAGTCTGAGTAGGAAAACATGTAATGGCGCGAAACGTCTAATGAACAATGTGTCTAATTAGCGAAACATACCTATAGAGGAAAACGGCCATGTATCATAATTAAAGGTCTTCTGTTTTAAGTAAAACGTATACGTAATGAGAGAATCATCAGATTCTCAAATTGTCTGGACACTTAGGTTACTTACGGATTAATATGCGGGCGGGGTAAAAGGCCGCGGACATTATGATATTAAATATTGGGCACGAATTTATATCTGGTGGATATATAAAATTCGGCATATATATAGAAAAATATATAAATTAGATACAATTGCCATCAGCACAGTGACAGCAAGGGTAAACGGGAATTCATCCTGCACGCACGGGGGCTTGAAGCCGATAGTTACACGGATCGATTTTCAATATTTGAAAGGACTAACCTTTTATCCCACAATTATTAGAGCGATATTTTTAATCTAATCATTTGATCTGTTATTTTTTTTTATTTGGCAACCGCAGTTTTGTGTAAGTTTAAGTAGTTATAAGGAAGATACTGCTGCTAACTCTTATGAAACCTACGGGACGATATGGGGTACTGGATGTTCTCACACCAACACTGCATGGTTGTTGATGTCTAGATGTGTACGAGGGTGGATTGAAAAGTACTCGGCCTAACCAAGAAAATAAACACATACTAAATCAGTTATATTTTTATTTTTCTACATAATCACCATCAAGTTCAATACACTTTTGCCACCTCCCCTTCCAAGCATTTAGACCGTTGAAAAAAAATGATTCTTCTTTAGAGTCAAAATATGCGTCTACAGCTGCTTTGACCTCGTCGTTTGTCGAAAATATTAGACCTCCCAAGTGCTTTTTTAGGTTAGGGAACAGAAAGAAGTCTGATGGTGCTAGATCAGGTGAATACGGCGGATGCGGTAACAGTTCAAAGCCACAGTTGTGAATTTCAGCCATTGACTGTACTGACGTGTGAACACGGGCGTTATCTTGATGAAACAGGACTTTTCTTCTGAGCATTCCTCGACGTTTTTCTTTTATTTCCTCTCGTAAATGACGTAGTAAGGTGCAGTAGTAATCAGAGTTTATAGTCTGACCCCTTTCAAGATAATCAAGGCTTTTGATGATAGCCCCTTCTTATGGAGGTACTTAATGACGGCACGCTGCTCGATTTGCTCCATTCGCGGAAATTATGTCCGATTACTTTGTTAATAAATTTATAAAATCACAACTAATTATCGCACACGTTTCGAACTTCACACAATGAACTAGTCTGAACTGAACTAAATAATGTGGATAGATTTGATTTTTAGAATTGAATGGATCTGTGTTAGGCCGAGTACTTTTCAATCCACCCTCGTATTTACAAATGATTTTCAGAAAAATTTAACAGTGTGTTCATTCACGATTTGCTAAATAGATGTGCTACACCGACCTTCCGATATTCGGACGTTTTTCTATAGAAATGTTTTACTAATTAGACGTTTGTAGTCCTTACTATTATTTTCACGTAGTTAGACATTTTGCTACTTTGATCTAGAGGGAAAAAAACATAACATCTCTCCTCACTATTAATTTATCATCGTCCGTCTTATTATTCCTCATAATATATTGAATTCTTTTAATTGGCAGTTTGCAGGTGTTACTGTTACCGTTACGGTTAAAGTCCACTGCTGAACTGAAATTTCCGCCCTATAAGGCAATCTGTGGGGGAGGCCTATCCCCCACAGATTGCCCGGAAATTGGCCGTAGTTGCCACGCCTGCCAAGCGGGTTGGCATACGAAGTTTTTTCATTTCAGTCGTTATTAGGAACATGCTGCTGCATTATCCCCTGATTTGTTTCTCTCTGTCGCCTCTTACGACACCCACGGGACGATATGGGATAGTGGATATTCTTTTTTTTATATAGAATAAGGATGACAAATGAGCACATAGTCCACCTGATGGTGAGTGGAGGCTGTGGCCCATAGACGTCTACATTTATCCCCGATTAAAAATCAAAACGCAGGTGCGTTCTCACCCCTGAGGACTAAGACGGAATGCCTCGTAACCTGTAAAAAAGGGTCCCCGGATCTCTACACTCACCATACGAAACACAGCAGTATTAAGCTGCTATTTTACGCTGGTATTCAAAGAGCGTGGTCCTTCCCCGGTCAAGCCGACCCATTCGTGTTACAACTGTAATATAGCTGCAGCGTGGCTCTACCACGTGTAATTCTTACTTTTGCACGTGTTATTATGAATTAAAAGGAGTACTTAAAAATAATTGCACCACCAACTTTCATAGACGTGAACCTCACCTGAATGTAATGCTTATTAACGAACGATCTGGTTATGGGTAATCTAAGTCTTCCATGAATGCATGCTAATTACTGTAGTTGAATGTACATGTTGTAATATGCAAGATGCAAGCTAAGAAAAAAGAAGAATTCATTCATTTAACGTGTATGTGTATGTATATTGTATTTAAGTAAATATTAAGTACTGCAGCAATTATAGGTTATAGTTCACACGAAGTCAATTTTATATTTTAGTGATAGGTAAAGACATTTAAATAATAACAAGCTAAATAACGAGCGACAATGGGCATTGTTTTAGCGACGATTTTGTCATGAATTAAAATAATACTTTCAAATTGTACCTGGATTATAGCCGATATACCATTGTAAAATATCATATAATGAGCATTTTTATTGCTTTTTAGTTATTTAATAAAATAAAATTGAAGAGGAATGCAAATATTAAAATGACATATTTATTTTTTATTGTAATGAAAAATTTGACGGAAACGTCATCAGTTAAACAACATAGACCAGTAAAATAACTCCATATGTAATGTCGAAACGGCAAATAAATGAAAAGGGTGTGTTCAAACATGGATATAAAAGGTACCTACTTCTAATTTTTTCTAATAAAATGTACTTAATAAGGCAATGATTAAGTTTACGGAAAATGGGAGGTGCACTGTTTATTACATTGTTGTATGTAATTCGTACTACATATATATCGATGGTTTATTGCTTTTAAATTCTCGCCTGGCCCAACTTTGTTCACTACGTTCATACATAAAAGGCAATTGTAAATTACTATTGTAGAAAATATACATAATACAAGGCATCATTACTATTGCTATAGTACATTATTGCTACTGGCAACAAGCACACGATAACAATTTTTAATTACAATTTGTTATTACGAATCAAGCTTTTAATTTCGAACAGGATGTGGTAATACATAAGATTATGCACAAAACTCATTATAAAATAGACATTAAAATATTAACTTTTATTTCGCGTCATAAAATTTGAATTTTCAACAAATTAATATGTAAACATCACATTCATATTTGGTTATGTTCTTAAAATATTTTCGTGTGTAAATATGTAACATTAATAACAATTCGATTTTAAACAAATATTTACTTCACGGCTTTTATTTAATGATACTTTAGGAATCTCGTCATTTAACGGCATAACCACAACTTTATACGGTGTGTATATTGATGTACAGCTTTTGGAAAAAGAAATCGATTTCTGTTTAACTCTGTTTTCGTCTTGCAGCTTGCAAATGTTCCTACCGATGGCGCTTAGGTTTTTTAAAGAATTTGAATCGTTTATACAACTTCGTGAACTTAGAGGTTGCAGAAAAGATTTATGATTAGCACCAACTAAACCTGATTTGATTTGTCTGATTGGGGTTATATCGAGTTCAGCACGAGCTGTGACTTTGTTTTGAACAGAAATTGTTGAGCGTAAGATGCTGGTCGTCTCCTGCTCCCAATCTAAAGGATCAATATAGCAACGTTTGTTACCAACCGACATATTGATTTTTGGCTTGTCCATTCTCCTCGCCGCCGACTCGGTACGATATTTTCCAATTTGTTTAACTATTTGATTTTCCTCCGGTCGGCAGCATGAATGTCGCGACGCTCGCCGTTTAGATTCTAGATTTCTTTCGCGTCTTCCTCGAGTCCTAGAAGAGAGCGTGGACGTTTTACGTTTTTTGGAACCGGATTTTAGAGCGTGTTTTGTATTGATTACAGTTACTGCTTGGCGTACCGTAAGGGAATCCTTGGGTCCTAACAAAATGCCGTCTTTATCTGTTGGTAGAGTGTCGTAAGGGTTCAACCATGTCAGGAAGTCTGTGATAATTGGTCCGTTGTATTCAGGAGGTACTGGCTGAAGAGGATCTTCGGTGGTATCACCAGATAGTGAACGAAGTGCCAATGTAGTCACGCTTCTATGCTCATGTTTCCGCTCTTTTTGTTTCTTAAGCAGACGTTTTCCATTAATGCATAACGATAAGCCAAGATACGCTGGTGCTTTAGGAATGATTTGCTTGTAGGCTAATTCAAAAGTCCCGGTATCAGCATCAGGGTTGTGACGCCGATCTAGTACAACTGTAAAATAAACAAAATCGTTATAATTAGCAAGATAACTAAACATTTTATGAAGTAAGATTTACCTTTGATTACATCTTCAAGGCACTGGGGACACAAACGAGCTGTTACAGAAGTTGTTGGCGCTAAATCAGGGCTAGAGTTAATCTCTATGAGCCACGGTGTAAAATCCTCGGTCAACATAAAATCAGCACCATAAAGTTCGAAACTGTTTTGCCTTTTATCCATTGCTTCCTGACAGGCTAACATAGCTCCAATTAGACTCTGCTTTATCCCAGGATATATCTTCGTGTCCCATAATTCATACTTTCCTATCTGTCTTCAAAATTGAAGGATTTTTTATATAAAAATGTTTAAACGTTTATAATAATAAATAGTAATATGAATTTTTAATGTTGCATAAAAGAACGAAGTACCGTTTGTAACGTTTTCATTTAATGTTCTTTCATTGTCTTACTCCTTTTATAGATAAGTTTTGATCATATTTACCTCAGGTAAGCCTTAAAACTATGACAGTCCCACATATTTTCGTCAGGTAAGGCTTTGTCCCTATCTCCAGTGTTTTTGTATTTTGTTTGGACCGCGTTGTTAGTTAGATGTACGGACTCGTGATAGTTTGACAAACTAAATATTTGTGAGCTGAATCTTAAGTAGCTGTCCCTGTAGACATGAAAAGTGTTAATATTTGAAACTAATATTGTTGAAAGTAAATTAAAAATATTGTATGCGTACTTATATATCCAGATAGTCAGTGGTTGACAATTTGTGATAAGAAACCACTGCCTTATATCAAATTTCGTATTGTATATAACCAGTGGGTTTTCTGCGAAATAAATCATTTTTATTATTTCAAATATAACTTATGAGTATTAATAAACCAGATTGATGACATTGTTAAAAGTACATATTATCTAACTACCGATATATTTTTGTACAACGTATCTGTTTTTTTGGGCAGGAATATTAATGAGTCCGATTATATCCTTAATATTATTCATTAGTTGAATGCCTTTTCCACGACACTTGTTACCAGGTTTAACGATCCAAATGTTTAAGAATCCGTCAATGTCTATCTGTGGCCAGAATTTCGTTACTGCAGCTAAAACTTTTGACGCCTTTTTTTCTAATTGCCTGAGAAAAAAAATGGTTGGTCTTTTGGAGATATTTATAAATCTGTAAAGGAGATCTAGATATGTAATGGATTTATTTGGACATTATTTTTTTCTAATTTAAATATGTTGACATTTTTCCGTACGTAGACCACTCTTAAATATAATAAACAACACGTTCTGACAACTGACGAAAGAAAAAACAGTGTATCCATTGTAGTACCTAATCCAAAACCTTGAGACTTACGATGAGGAGTATCATCATCAGTGCGAATGTATGGTGTGATTACAAATACGAGCAATTAACCCTAGATTACAATCCTGTCAAACACTAAGCTTGATGAGAGCGGTTAAACAAATTATTATTGGAACACTTGTAACTAAATCCAGTGAATTTAAAAGATTGCTAAAGAAAAATAAGAAGAAATTTACAACGAACTGCACATCCAAGTGTTTTTACAGAAGTGAAGGTGATAAACGAGCACACAGTCCATTTGATGGTAAGTGGACGCTGTTTCCCATCTATCCTCGATTAAGAATCTAAAACTAGATGCATCATCACTCTGAGATCTAAGATGGCCCTGTCGCCAACAGAAAGGCTCTCCAGTTCTCGTCAGCTACCTTACAAAACACAGTAGCTTTTGTTATTATATCACGCTGGTATTCTCCGGTTGAGCTGACCCATTTGGTCTACACGGCTTTACAACGTAAATATTATTTTATTTTTATGGTATATAATATAAAGTTTCGCAAATTTGAGATTCATTATCGCATTAATATCTAGGTGTTTATAAAATCGTCACAAGTGATAATGACGATAAGATCAGAACGTCACACATTCGTTAATACTGTATAAAATCATTAAAAATTAAAAGAAAATTTACCTTATGTTTACATTGTGATCATCCACAAATTTTGCCTTTTCGTGTACTAAAAGATAATGATGCGTGAGGAATAGGTCCCATTCATGTTCCCAAATGTGTGGAACTTTATCCTCTAAGTCGTCTATGTCTTTGTGAGTGCAGAATGTAACATATTCGTTAATTCTGCTAATGGCAAATTCTATGGCACTAAATGGCACTTTCCCTTGGTTTGTTATAAATTCTGTTTCTTTATTGTTAAGCATTAAGCTAGAAAACCATTTTACAATACTAATACAAGCTGTTATTCGAAAATCCTCAACGAACTCTTCTAAATTATCGGAGTTATAAATGTTGTAACAACGTGGAAAGTTTGTTAACGCTATACCGGGCTCTGTGTACCAATGCATTTGAGTAAGTGACGTGGTCAAACCTTCTTTTGTTGTGAATATAGATCTGCTGAACCTGTTGAAACATGGCCGTGTGATTATATGATTTGCTTTGAATTATAAACTCATTAACCTGCGTCTCGTGAACGTGTTTTATGTTATAGCCAAACTTGAAGTTCTCGGGATAAAATTATTATTTATTTTGTGCAATATATTGAAATGTTATAAAACCAATAACAATGAAATTCTCTATTTCGAATGTGCTAAAGATTAACATATTTGGTACCTGCTTATTATGACCTCCTTATTGCTCAACAACCAATCATATTTGTCTCTTTTAGAAGTCCAAAGAAAATCGACCGAATGGTGTTCCATGAACTTGTATAATATCATTCTTTCAACTTTGGTCAGCTCTTTATCGGTAACTTTTTTCAACTCAACGTTTGCTGGTGGGTGACGAACCTTTAAATCATTTATAAAAAATAATTTATGTTACAACAAAGTATGTAATTATAAAATTAAACAGTTTTCGATAAAAAGTTAACATTAAAAGAGTAGGTTCAATTTGTTTATATATTATGGATATCAACTTTAATGTTTCAATTATGAAAAATTGTTAACATTATATAGAGTTAGCTCAGAATTTTATTAAAAAATTAATTTGGTATTGATTTTACTATACTCAAAAACAATCCAGCATAGAATGCATGCTGTAGCCCATGGGTAGCTGCAATTAACTTCAAACAAAAAAGCCATAAATGCGGCGTTACTTCGAGGAATATAATGAAATACTTAACAACCTATATATACTGTCACGCTGGGAAACAGAGTGCCACATCCTAGTAAATGCTTTTTTTTTCAAACAGGTAAGCACCTTATGTGATTCATATTTTTCGATCCAACCACGTTTCAGCAACGCTCGACGGATAGCCGGAAATCCGCCGCCCTTTATCATGAACACCTTGCGCTCTTTCATGGCGGTATCCGCTATCTTCTTTAGCTCATTCCACCGCTCGTTGCTAACCCAGCTCTTGTATTGCTTCAGTTGTTCAATAGACGACGTTGTTTCTGTTGTAACAATTTTGATTAATAAATAATAAAAAATAAAACAAAATATTTTTTTATTCAATATAGATCACAAGTAATTCTTATTGAAAGTCAATATTTTACGTTACCACTGGTACGAAAAAAAACCTCTGTCCTGGGAAGAACCAGCAAGAAACCCAGCGGGACATTTTTTCAAGAAAATAAATTTTACTATATCAAGGGTCACAGAATATTTACAAAATTTTATTTTAGAAACAGCTTGGAAGCGACCACCTCATTCCCAGGGGTTATTATCAACCATGTATTCATTTATATCATAATAACGCTTGTTATACAGTTTTTGTTTAATTAAATATTTAAACTTGGTAATAGAGAGATCTTGTATATTTTCTGGGACTTTGTTGAGGATACATTGATTGCCCCAAGAATGAATTACTGACTCTGTGGAGCCGAGAAACTGGTATCACTAGCTTGTGTTTGTGCCTAGTGTTTACAGAGTGTATGTCACTTTTTTTTACTAAAACTATATTTTTGTCAACATACCTACATCAAATTATCATAGATATACTGAGAGGCCAAAGTTAATATATTTATATCTTTAAATTTTTCTCTAAGAGATTATTGAACTATCCGTTTTCCACCACGACCGCAACTACCTAAATTAAGTTATTCTTTTGCTTTTTGTAACTATTCACCCCACAATATGGCAGGATCCCCCGTAGCTGTCGTGCCCATAAGGAGTATTTACTATAATCGCCACAAGACTCAGTACCGCCAGCTTCGATCAGCGATATTGGTATTGTTGATCGAAGACCGCCAGTATAACCAGTATCGCTAGATTGCAATACGAGACGTCTTAAGTTTATAAAACTGTTGATTGTCGCTGATCTGTTTTTTTTTTACATCGAGCATATACAAGATGTTTATTCCGGCATTTATATAATGTGCAAGTACCATAGTCGATTTTTAAAGCACCCACGAAATTCAATGAGGTCCTCTTTTTCTATTATACACTGGTTCACCGATGGTGAAAGGAGAGAAAGTAATTACCTAAATCATGCAATTCCTGCCCACATTATCCCAAATGTATTGTGTATGACACCGCAAGGTTCTTGCTTAAGTTTACTCACTCATTTTTAAGTGCAATATTATCTCTTAACAAACAACACTGTGTGTGAAAATCGTCATATATTCCCACACTTGGTTCTTTATTTTAACAGTTGATCAGTGGTATTTAGGAAAGGTATGTGTTCATGATAAGCTCGAAATCGTAAAAAAGTAACATAAAGCGTAAGCCACATGTAACTTTCAAAGAGGTTTTTTATTTATAGAATGAGGGTGACAAACGAGCACACAGTCCACCTGATGGTAAGTGGATGCTGTGGCCCATAGACATTTATCCTCGATTAAGAATGAAAACGCAGAAGCGGACTAAGATGGAATGCCTCGTTTCCAGTAAAAAAGGGTCTGCGGATCTCTACACTCACCATAAGCACGCATACGTGCGCTGGTATTCTGTGAGAGCGTGGTTAAAAGTTCGATTTTGTGTAGGATAGGTAAATATACATAGTTAATTTTAGAGAAAATAAAAAAGCATCTAGGAATCTGGGAAATGTTCAATAAAATGAGCGTTCGTGTTAAAATAAGTAGGTAAGTTAACTGAATGCTCGTAATATACGCTATTCACCGGGTGCGGGTGCAACCGCAGTTTTTTTTGTTATTGAATTGCTATCAGGAAGATGCTGCTGCCGATCTCCTGTTTCAACTTCCATCTGTTGCCTCTTATGATATGATGCTCACGGGATTATTATGGCGCTATTATGAAATGCTATTATTTATTAATAATGAAAAGTTTCTAATCCTGGCATAAATACGTACCGGGTCCATGATCAGACCTTGAATATGACACGGCGCTTAATGGGCGCAACTCCTTCTTACTGACACTTTCCTTGTGGAGTTTTGAGTCTGATATACTCTCCTCTAATTCCATTGTTATAGCCATGGGTAGTTATTCTTTAAATCCCTGCAAAAGGTTTTGAATTCGAAAATCATTTTTGTTTTTTTTTTTGAAAACGTGCTCTCAGGTCACTAGTTGTAAATGAACTGAGAGAATAAATACGACCCAGTGCATTAACCTACTTTACAGTTTAACCTACATACACGGACCTTCATATTTGTAGTTTCTGACTACCAGCACGTAGTACCGCGCGCATCTCTGCCTGGCACTGTAGGAAAGGGTGACGTCATACGCCGAGTGCGTCCTTCGCAATATGCGCAGTGATTACACGAAAATTAATAAAACCAAAAATGAGTTACCTGCAGTCGAATCGGCAATCAGTAAACTAGTAGAAAGGCACAGTAGTACCATAAAATGTAAATAATGGTCGCGTTTAGAAACTGTAATTTGAAGTAAGTAGTTCACAATATATTAGGTAAAATAAACGCTAGAATTTGACAAAAAATTGACAATTGTATCCATGAAAAGTAAATAAACCACAGAAATGAACCTAAAAAAGTTAAATTGTCAATTTAAATGACAATAAAAATGTTGTTCTATTAAAAACTCAAGAATTTGCACCTAAGAAAAAGTTTAAGATTCAAATTCAAATATATATTTTTATGAACAATTGTACTTACAATATAAATCTATGTATATAGGTACCAAGACTTAACAATAAAAAAATACTTTTAACCGGCTTAAAAAAACCAGTAGCTTATTAATTTGGTTGTATGTCGTGTGATACAGTTATGCGATATCTTCATTGTGGATCGATTTTGATGATTTTTTTTACAAAAAGTGTTAGGTATACTTAGGGGTACCATATAAATTTGGAAACAAAATTCAGGATGGTAAATTTGGGGATGAAGTTTTTAAGGGAACTATTTAGATGACATTGAGATTGTGATATCCATTTAAGTGAACTATACTTCGTTTATATCATAAGATAAAAGAGGCTTGTAATAATATTATATTCATCAAAAAGGATTTTAAAAATATTCCTGAGTTGCAACAAATTTATATGTGAATTGCAGGGCATTGCTCTGTGCGAACTGATGTTTGTCCTCCAGATTGAATTTCAGTCACGTCGGCTAGCACAGACTACTAAGAGGATACTCGGCTAGTCTCAATGGAGACTAACCTTCTGCGCAGGACGCGATTATAGGGCCCGAGTCAGCGTTGCGACTGTAAAAAATTGAGTTGCCGTATCTAAAAACGAAAATTGCCGTATTTATGAAAAAAATCCACGAAATTGCCATAAAGTATTTATTTCTACGAATAATTAAATAAATCACATAAAATCTGAAATTTCTTCACCATATAGGTTTCTGATTGATTGAAAACATCACTCGTTTGTCTAGTTATTAATATTTTTCTTTGCTTTTCATTTTCTTACACATATCATTTGACATTTGAAATTTCGTACAACCTCCTTGATTTTTAACCGCTTGTCTTGCTAATAGAGCTCCGTTGACAGTGGATGTTATCAATTTATTTTTGGATTTTGTTTTCATATTGATTACTTCACTGAAAACTTTTTAGCAATCTGCATTGCTATGTTGTAGATAGACATAATACGTCTAAAGCAAAATTTGCTAATATTTTGCAGTCTGTAGTATCTTGGACATTTGCCCAAAATTCATGTTTTTATTTCTAATTCTGAAATTTTGTTTACATTTGGTAGCAACCTCCACTCGTCATCAATTCGTTGCTTATCTGATTCTCTCACAACTCGTGGCAATTGCTGGGCCAGTGGCGACAATGACGGAAAACAACTATGACGTCTTTGTCCTTTTCGCGTGTTTTGAAGTAAGAGTTTAAGCTTTTTTGTAGAAAGTGCAGCCATTCCAACAAAGCCAAATTGGATCCAAGTTTAATTTACTGCCAGAGTAAATACTACAAAAGTACCGTACACACCGTACATTCATTCAATAATATAAACAAAGTATATGTACCTATCTTTACATTCATTACTTCTATCAATGTCTACCATGTGTCATGTTCATGCCATCTTTGTTAGTCTCATAAAATAAAAGATGGAACGGTAATTTCCCGTCATAGACAACCACACTCTTTATTATCACTTAAGGGATAACGAAAGTGAAAAAAAAATATTGATATCAATACAGGTCTTTATATTTTTTGTTCATAATTTGCCATCGTGGTTTATCGCAAAGCTGAATTGCCGTAATACTTGATACGGCAATGAAAAGCCTGCCGTATGCCGTATAATCTTTAAAAAAATCGTGGAATGCCGTATATTACGGCAATTGCCGTATCGATCGCAACGCTGGCCCGAGTGTATGCGCAAGCACTATCATAGTCATTTGGGACGGGAATCTGACACGGCTGACACTGGCTTTAGGTGTATTTCGAGGCACGAGGGTAAAACACCGCCAGCTTCCTAAATTTCGTGACAGAAAAACTCAATAACAAATTTTATGGCTCGAACCGGGATTTGATCTAGGAACTTCAGGATCAGCAGTCGCGTTAACGACCACGAAACGGACGAGGAAGTTGTTCAATCAAAATCGTTGAATAATGGTTCATTATATTATGTAGTTCGTGGTAGAGTTCGTGGTAAAATTTTTAACGAGTGTAAAATTCAGCTATGTACATGTAGAAATATTTTATTAAAATTAATAATAAAAAGAAAGATCAAATAAGAAAAAAAAAACGTAGATTTAGTATAAACTGACATTAGAATAGATTGGCAATGCAAAGGAGAAAGAGCATTGTGTACGCGTATGTTAGTGCGAGAAAGATTGGCTAGACCATTCACGTACACGCTATCGGCTTGTATCGGACTGGCGTCATTCGTGAACTTTCCCATTATTTTTCTCAGGATTTCTCATTACTCGACACCGGCAAAAGTACAACCGTACGAATGCCTTGCCAAAGAAAAAAATATGGATTGTTATAGTAATAAACCAACTGGAGAGGCTATGCGCGTTAATTCCTAAACAAAAAAGTCTGTCAATGTCAGGCGGGCGCATGAAAAAGCATACGTATGTATGTAATTACTCTAAGAGAAAAACACACTACTGTATACTTACTTCACTTTAAATGCAAAATTGAATCGCGTCACTATATACGCACACTACAGCATTCGTGTGAGTGTTCATTGCATTTACGCATATCATCAAATTGTACACGTAAATCCGGTTTCTCACTGCGTGTGTTATCACGCGCCACACCGCGCCCGCCCTTAACACTGCGCGTGTCGCGTGCGGGCGCGGCGTGGCGCGGCGCGGGCTTGCGCGTCGGTGCGCGGGCTTGCGCGTCGGTGCGCGGGCTTGCGCGTCAGTGCGCGGGCGCGCGCGGCGCGACGTGTGCTAACAAGATTGAACTCGTTCATTTCGTCTTTACTCGTCCGACGTTGAAGTACTCTCATGTCTATATAGATATGGAGTGGCATTTAGCCTAGATCACTCCTGGTATTGCTCTCTATCTTTTCGTGAAGTGTCGTGTCAATCGGTTCAACTATTCAGCATGTTAGCCCGACAGATCATACAGACAGACAGAGAATATTTAAAAAATTTGATTTATGTCCTATTATTATGCAAATAAAGCTAAAAGAAGCCAGTTAGTTTAATTGGTCTGAATTTCTTTGTTACATATATTTTCATTTTACTTGGAGGATCTTCGGCAATGTCCGACCAGCTATGAGAACTGACGCGTTTTAAAGGATACCTATTTGATGTTTCGGAATTGTCTAAGTGTTGTAAGGAAGTATTAATTGTTATTTCTTGTTTCTCGTTAAACTCTGACGCTGTTCCGGTATCTCTTACCGGTACTGCTAATGATTCATCGTATTGGGTAAATATTTTCCATAAATAACATTTCTTTATCCATTTCAATAACTGGAGTAAGGCTTTCTTTACTGGACATCATATCTTCTGGAATGGAGTCTACAGATTTTGAATCACATTTATCTCTTCGCATAGTTTCGATTTCACCTGAATCATCAGTTACCACCACAGCAAAATTTGAACTGGTTGAGTCTTGATTTTCTTCCTGACTCATTTATTTTAAATAATGGTTTTGAAAATTCGAAATTTAAGTCTGAAGAATCGCTTCCATTGAGATCGGAGCTCATAGCACCTTTGTTTAATACACTAATATTATTTGAACTTGTTTTGGAGGTACTTACTCAGTAGATTTACTTGACAAATGTTCATGAGTCAGCATCATTATCATTAAGCTCAGTGATTTTAGTATAAGAATCATCTTCGGAATCGGTTTCATATTCAACACCATGGAATAGTTTTCTATATAATTTAAACATTTTTTTTCTAATAACTGATAGTATTCCTCTGGTTTATCATGACGGTTTTTTCCCCTCCTATAATAAGATCTGGCAGAGTACTATATGATCTGGACGAAGCCTCTGCTGAGGATATATCGGATAAATTGGATCTCAGTTCATTTGTTTCTGAAATTCGCGATGGCCGTGTAAATAAAACTTCTAGGATTAGCTATTACTGTAAATTATTTCTAATTTTCAATTTTTATTATTTGATAACCGATACTCGATGATTTTACCAGTCACTTTTAGGAGTCACTAATTTCACCCGGCGGATCAGTAGGCTGAAATTGCTTGCCGTTCAATTAACTGATGCAGCTTACACAATTTGGGCCGGTCAAATAGCTTGAAGAACCGACAACCGACCTGGAAGGAAGGTTTTCGAGTACCGGTAAGCAAAGTGCTGGGTAGCCCCCACTAGATGGAGTAATAATTTAGTATGACAAGGATGCAGGTGTTTACCAGTGGACTTTTCAAGGGCTATAATGATAATGGTGATGGAAGTGTCTAAATAATATGCAAATATTATATAGTTCTATGTCAATAGCTAAATAACATCTTTGTTGCGTTATCTTGTTACAATACAATTACAATTAACTATAAGGTAAAGTTATAGCCTACATACGTATACGTCCCACTGCTGGGCACAGGCCTCCTCTGATTTCTGAAGGTTTTGTACGTGGTAGTCATGCTGCAGTTCTATTAGTAGTATAGTTGTAGCACGAATGGGTTGGCTCGATCGGGAAGGACCACGCTCTCACAGAATACCAGGGTAAAATAGTAGCGTAATGCTGCTGTGTTACGTATGGTAAGTGTAGAGAATCGGAGACCCTTTTTACTGGAAAAGAGGCATTCCATCTTAGTCCTTACGGGTGACAACGCATCTGCATTTCGATTCGTAATAAAGGATAAATGTAGACGTCTATGGGCCACAGAAACCACTTACCATCAGGTGGATTGTGTGCTCGTTTGTCACACTCTCCTATAAAAAAAAGAGCAGGGCAGTGTCCGCCCGCTGCCCAAATCCGTGTTGGTGGATTTCACTTGTCTTCGAAATATATTTTTTCTTATTTCTCAAAACATGCAGATAACTAGACTACACCATTGACCTACATCTAAGCAGAGGGGTGATGTGGCAGCGCTTTCATCGCGCCACAAGTGAAATGAAACGTGGCCTAAATCATGCTATCAAAGTTCTAAAACTACTTCACACAAAAATTATTAAATTTCATAATGCGCGAGCAACCCGAACTCACAGACAGAGCGAAACTGAAAAAGGAGATGGGAACGAGACAAAAGTGAGGGTTCTGAATAAACTTAAGTAAGAGTGTAGACAGTTCATCCACCCCGAGAATCATAATATTTCTTATATATACAATAGGGTAATATATAACAGTATAAACAGCTAGATAATTACTTTTGTAAAAACAAATACTTAACTTACTGAAATTCATAAAATATAAAACATTGCTCTAATGAAAAATTAAGTTGGATTAAAGGATAAACTTAACTGCAGAGAACAAAACCTTCACCCATATGGCAACGTGAAGCAACATATAAGACGCGAGACAGGTAGTGATCGTCAAGGTGCTTGCCAAGTCATGATTAAGGCAAATTCATATAATGATGACCCATCAAGCAGTGAACTTTTACTAATAAGAAGTATAATACCATTGAAAGCATAATGGTGGTGCAATCATATCCATTGCCATATATATCTACCAAAGGGATGGTTGTCGTAAGAGGCGACAGAGGGAAACAGAAACAGCCTATCCCACAGATTGACTCATAGGAGGGTTATTTTCCGTAGTTAGGTACCACGCTTGACCAGGTGGGTTAGCAAACGCAGTTTTTGTAGTTTTTGTTATCAGCAGGGTGCTGCTGCCCAACTCTTGTTTCATTATTGCTCACACGACACCCACAGGTTGAGACGGTGTAGTGGATCCTCTAACAACAAGGGCAGTTTAAATTCAAGTTGTTCCTTTTCCCATTAGTCTGTTCGGAAATAGAATAATCGTGGTGAAAAAATAAACTAACGTAATTTGAACTTACTATAGACTTCAAAATAATTTATTAAAAAATGATATCAAACAAAAATGAAACAGGTAAAACTTGGTATAATTATATTTATAACTTGGTATAATTATATTTATAACTTGGTATAATAATATTATGTCATTATAGTCAATTGCGGGGATCGAACCCGGGTTGCTTGCTCGCGTACTGTGAAATTTACAGCTAGCATTTACCCACCGTGCTACCACGGCTTAATAATTTGTTATTTGCAATTTTAAATGCTGATTTACCTCGTGATCGGCGGTGTAGGAACACCATGAGGAAACCTGCATGTTTTGAGAAATAAGAAAAATATATTTCGAAGACGTGAAAAGTCCACCAACACGGATTTGGGCAGCGGGCGGACACTGCCCTGCTCTTTTTTTATAGGAGAGTGTGACAAACGAGCACACAGTCCACCTGATGGTAAGTGGTTTCTGTGGCCCATAGACGTCTACATTTATCATTGATTACGAATCAAAATGCAGATGCGTTGTCACCCGTAAGGACTAAGATGGAATGTCTCTTTTCCAGTAAAAAGGGTCTCCTGTTCTCTACACTAACCATACGTAACACAGCAGCATTACACTACGCTACTATTTTACGCTGGTATTCTGTGAGAGCGTGGTCCTTCCCCGATCGAGCCAACCAGATTCAGAATTCAGAAATCAGAGGAGGCCTAACTATATAACTGTGCCCAGCAGTGGGACGTATATAGGCTATAACTTTACTTTATAGTTAATTGTATAATGTCAAAATCTTACAGTCGATTTATAATGTCCACCTAATAACAAGATAACTCAACAAAGAAGTTATTTAGCTATTGTCATAGAACTATTTAATATTTGCATATTATTTAAACACTTCTATCACCATTATCATTATAGCACTTGAAAAGTCCACTGCTGAACACCTGCATCCACAACATGCTTGCCATACTAAATTATTACTCCATCTAGTGGGGGCTGCCCAGCACTTTGCTTACCGATACTTGAAAACCTTCCTTCCAGGTCGGTTGTCGGTTCTTCAAGCTATTTGACCGGCCCAAATCAGTAAGCTGCATCAGTTAGTTGAACGGCGAGAAATTTCAGCTTACTGATCCTGATGTGAACTTAGTGACTCCTAAAACTGACTGGTAAAATCATCGAGTATTTGTGTGGTTATCAAATAATAAAAATTGAAAATTTGTAATAATTTACAGTAATAGCTAATCCTAGAAGTTTTATTTACACGGACATCGCGAATTTCAGAAACAAATGAACTGAGATCCAATTTATCCGATATATCCTCAGCAGAGGCTTCGTCCAGATCATATAGTACTGTTGGCGATGCGCCTATAAAAATGTTTCAGTTTATTAAATCAACCGATGACGTTGCTATGAAAAAAGGGGTAGTCACGAGCAACGACGCTCTGATAAGAGAATGCTTAGTTAAATCTTTAAGAAATGTCGAATTAATGATATGAAGGTCTTGGGTTCGACTCCCAGGCCGGACTAGTTTGTTTGTTTTCCTAAGTAATATCGCTTAATAAATTCGTAAGGAATTTAAGATATAAATTATGTTACCGGATTTGTTCCCCGGTTGAAATCATCTTTCAAATGATGTAAATTCATAAGAGTATTAAAGTGTAGTTAAAGATCGGATTTGTTTCCCGGTCGAGATAATCACTCTGTGCATAGGCAGAATTAATGGATATTAATTGCATAAATGTTGTTTTGTATAAGTTTGATACGTTTTGTACGAAAACAAATGCCTATTTGTTATGATTGATTAATGAGAACATTCATTTATATTATTATCTGATTAAAGATAGTTTCATACAGTTCGAAAATTGTATAAAAGCATTTAATTTGCCTAATATGGTCAAAATTGGTGTATTTCATAATTTAATTTTTTCTGATAGCCGAGAGCCGTGCAAAGTTAGTTGTTCACATAGCGTGAGTACACGGAAGCACGCTGGCCACGCCCTTAGGAGGCCGAATATGTAAAAATTTAAAATGTTTGTAATTCAGTGATTTATGTAAAAATTACTTGTAAAATATTTCAGGTTAATTGTACGTGCTAAAAAGGTAAATTCTGTGTTATTTTTATGTGAAAATTCCTGTGTATAAGTGAAATAATGATAGTTTTGTATAAGAAATTTAAAAGTGTTTTAAATAGTGAAATAAATAGAAAAAATGTAAATTAAACTATTGTATTGGTTAGCTTATGTATAAATTCAAGTGAGAAACATTGTTTTAACTTTCTGTGTTAAATATTTAAGAAATTTCGATTTCGAACTTGTGAGTAAAATAGGCAGTTTTCGTTTAATAAATAAAAGGTTTTTTATGATATGAGGATATGATGTATATCATGGTGTAGATATTGTTTTGTACTACCTATATTGATAAATTGTATTTGTATATGATTTGAATAAATAAAGATATTGAGTGAAACGTGAGAGAGTAATAGTACAAATTCATGTAATTAAGTTGCGCAAGCGCGCAGATGGCGCGGCTCACTTTCGCGTATAGCTCTGGGGTAGCTTAGTGAACGGGTTTTATTGCAATTCGTTCGGGAATCGTTCGGGGAAGTTCGGAAATAGTTCGGAAATAAATAAGAAAATCCGGGAAAAAGTTCAAGAAAAGTGAAAAACCAGCAGTATAGGGAAAAGTGATTACTCTCT